CTCTGTAAGAAAAAAAAAAAAAGCAAGGGTTTCAAGCCAGTTCTTCTGACTTTGAGCTTTCTGGGCCTAAATAATTCCCATTTCTTAAAATGAAAGGTGCGCCCAGCTACCCCACGGGGGTTGTTCTGGAGGCGCCTGCTTCAAGACTTAACTGGTGAGGTGTTCTGGGAGCCGGGGAGGGAGTTGGGCTCCCTCTTCTCCATGGTTTCACAGGGCAAGCTCCTTCACTTTCATCTGCTATGGGCAAAGCTTTTAACCAAAGGTTGCGTGGCTCTCGAACAATACCTTGAAGCCTGGAAGTGGGGACAACTAAGACCCTTTTCCTAAGCCTGGGAACGGATGCTGCATCCTGGCATCCCGAGACATGGCCCTGTCAGGTTGACCAATGTTCATCTTGGCTGGCCAGCGATCCGAGGCCCATTCAGCTCAGGGCTTTCACTTCCCAGAAAGGAACGAAAAGGGGACATGGATGATGGGAGGTAGGGTGATGAGTGATAAAGCCCTCTGGAACCTCAAAGCTTGGTAAGGAATCATCAATTTCTGGCAGAGAAGGGCAGCATGGCCAAATTGTTACGGGGATGCGGCCCGAAGGCCATCCCGGACAGGTGGGCTCTGACCCGCCCGATCCCCAGACCTGGCTCATTTACTTCTAGGTCTACCCGGTTGGAGAGCGGGCCCATCATATCGGGTACTTTGGAGGTGGCACGGGGGGCTGCGGGTGGTAAGGAGCGGCAGTGATTGCCGCCGTGTTACTGACCTGTGACGGGGGTGGCCTTGGGAGCTCATCCCCCAGGCTTACACCAGGATCCACCTTGCCCGCTCTGCAACTGGAGCCTTGAAACCAGTTTCATCTCTGCCACTTACCTCCTGGGACACCCTGGGCAAGATATTCGTTAGGAGTTGGGCTGTGATGCCTTTTTTTTTTTGTTTTTGTTTTTTTTTGAGACAGCAGTCTCACCTTGGTCCATAGGCTGGAGCTGCAGTGCACGGATCTTGCTCACTGCAGCTTTGCGCCCTCCCGGTTCACGCCATATCTCCTGCCTTCAGGCTCCGGCGGTATGCTGGGGACTCAGGCGCCGCACCACCGACCGCCCGGCTAATTTTTTGTATTTTAGTAGAGCGGGTCACTCTTATCGCCTAGGCTGGAGTGCAATGGCGCAATCTTGACTCACTGCAACCTGCGCCTCCTGGGTTCAAGCGATTCTCCTGCCTCAGCCTCCCGAAGTAGCTGGGATTACAGGCATCTGCCACCATGCCCAGCTAATTTTTTTTTTGTATTTTTAGTAGAGATGGGGTTTCGCCATGTAGGCCAGGCTGGTCTTGAACTCCTGACCTCAGGTGATCCACCCACGTCAGCCTCCCAAAGTGCTGGGATTACAGGCATGAGCCACCGAGCCTGGCCGAACCTTGCATTTTTTAATTCACTTGTTTATTTGGAGACATTTCCTATGTCCTGTCTGTGCCCAGCATCCCTGAGTCTGTTGCCAGGAGTGGAAATGAGTAAAGTGTGGTCCCTGCCCTTGAGGAGGCCAGAGTCTGGAGGGGGAGGCAGATCCCAACAGTTACAATACAGTGTGACAGGGGAAGCCATGGGAGCTGGGGAGGGGGAAGGGGGCAAAGGAGAGAGGCAGGGAAGACTTCCCAGAGGAGGCAACCTCTAAGGCCAGGCCTGAAAACTGAGGCATCAGGGAAGGCATGAGACACCAGAGCTCTCAGGGAACCCTGAGCCATTCAGCATTGTTGGCAGGCACATCTGGGAGGATGACAGGAGGAAAGCAAGAGCCTTGAGGCTGCCAGGTGGAAGAGTCTATATTTTATCCTGCGGCAGTGTGGGGTCCTGGAGGGCCTGTTGCAGAAACATCACTGTAGCAGTCTTCAGAGACTGCTGGGTTGGAGGACACCCAGTAGGAGGCAGGGAACCCTGTAGGTCAGTGGGTGTGGCAGTCCTGAGGGAGAGGGTCAGAGCATTAGGGCTGGAGTCAGGAGCCCTCCAGTTCAGCAGATCCCAGTCTTGGTGTGCTCAGAATCACCTGGGCAGAGATTCCTAAGCCTCGCTCTCAGAGAGTCTGATGGGGTGGTATATAGGGATTTGCGTGTGTAATACTCAGCCTGTGTGATTCTAATGGGCAGCCGGGGTGGGGACCGCTCCTTTAGGATGGTACTTCTGGCTCGGCCTCCTGATTGAGCTCAGTACACCTAGTATGTACTGAGCTCTCTGTGCCGGGCACCACAGGAGAATGTGTATGGTGTGGAGGTACAGACAGCCCTGGACAGATACATTTGTAAGTAAATGGTAGTGCCTAACGCAAAATCCCGCAGAATCTGTAATGAGTGAGCATGCTCCAGGAACATCATTGCCGCTGAGACTGTCACATTCACAGGAAGAACTGCTGTTTGCTGAGCTCCTTCTGTTCAAGGCAGCTACTTGTCACATGGCATCTGGTTCACACCTCACAGCCACTTTGTGGACATAGAGATGGCCTTCTCATTGTAAAGAGATAAACAGATTCAGAGAGGTGACATGACTTGTGCAGGGATGCAGTGAGTTTGTCGGACTCTGAAGTCTGCGTGGTTCAGTAATTGCTTCCTTTTGTGCAGCGCTTTACTGTGTACACAGCCCTCTCTCCGAACTCATCCTTCATAGTCTCCCTGGGAGGATGATTGTGATGACCTCCATTTCATACTTGCAGAACCTGAGGCTCAGACAGAGCAGTGCTCATCCAGAATCACAATGTGAGCATGGGCCGAACTGGCCTGGATCCTACAGCCACCTGCCCCAGAGCTGTCCCTTCCTGTGGGAGGGGATTCATCCTATTAGACCTGGCTCTGGGACTGCAGAAGTGAGCTGACATGATCCCTGACCTCAGGGAGCTTGTGGCTTAGCACGGGATGTGGGCAGCTACATTGCAGGGGAATGGGCAGCTGGAGTAGGCGAGAAACATGACCTTAGAGGACCCAGAAGAGGGGGAGGTGAGCTCTAGGGGAAAGACAGGGGACAAGAAGAAGGGCATTCCACATCAAGAGAACAGCATGTGCAAAGGCCCAGAGCATGGAGGAGTTTGGGTCGGAGGGGACCCTGGGGGGTGTTCAGTATGGCTGAAGTCCAGGGAAGTGGGGAGAGCCGATGGGGGCCACAGAACAAAGGATCATCGAGAGAGGGTCTTGGACATTATATGGAGGGCAGGGAGTGGGCCCTGGAGGTGCAGAGGGCTGGGCTCAGTGCTTGGAGAGGAGCTTTTGCCTCCTGGTTGCTCGGCTAAGCTTGTGGTTCTGTTTCGTTTAGCCTGGGGGATAAGCCACGCTGGGGGCTGTCAGTTTTGGCTATAGACAGTTTCTGGCCCCTGGTTTTGGCTGCTGAGCCAGAGTTTTCCCTTGCTGGGCTGTGTCCCCAACTTTGCATCCAGAAAGTCTGCATGAAAGTGTCTCTCCCTCCTTTGTGACCTTCTGTCCTCTCACTGTCAGGCCTTTCTGCCAGCTCCTAGGGACTTTTCTTATCCACAACTCTTCAGATTCCTGGGGCTTGGTGGGTGGCAGAGTGTGGGATGTGTGTGGCCAGCACAGAATTGCCTGGGCTTTCTTCCAAGTCCCTCCAGGCCTGAGCCTGCCTAGCTGTGAGGAGACTCAGTGTCTCCCTGGGGCTGGCCCCTGAACCCACTCATCTAGACCACCACTGGCCTGGCCTGGAGAACAGTGCTCTGAGCACTCAGGGGAGCATCCCCTGCCTCCACTGCATCATCATTTGGTGCCTGTGAGGTTCCAGATCCATATTTCTTCCTAGTTATGTCCCCTGATCCCACAAATTCAACACTTGGAAAGTTCTCAGAAATCAGGGCCAAGCTGTCATTGATCAGTGGAGGAGACTGAGGCCCATGGAGGGGAAGGGTCCTACCAGGGTCACCACTCTTGAGAGAGCTTCTCTTAATAAGGGCTAACAGCCAGGCATCCTGGAGTCCAAAATGGAGCAGTGGCCAGGATGGGGAAGGAATGCCCACCCTGGCCACTCTGGATTTAGGCCAACTCGGAATCCCAGCTCTGCCACCTCCTTCCTGTGAGATCTGGGAATGCAATTAGTTTCTCTGAGCTGCAGTTTCTACATCTGCAAACTGGGGATAATAATAGTTCCTACTCCCTAGGGTTGCTGCAGAGAGTAAATGCATAATGTGTGTAAAGAGCCCAGCACGGAGCCTGGTACACAGAAAATGCTCCCTAGGTGTTGGTTATGATCATGATCACTATTATGGAGATCATCATCATTGCTTTCCTCCATCACCTCCTTGTGATAACCAATTCTGGGCAAGTAACATTCCTGATCAGAAAGGGAACAGCCATGTGGTCATGCCCACCAGATGCCCCTCACACTTTACTGTGAAATGACACTTCGCCATTAACCAGCCAGCCAGTGATCCTTGACCTGAACTTCAGGGAACTGGCTGTGTCAGCAGCAGTGAGATGTCAACCAAGTGCTAGAGGCGGGAGTGGAAGAGGGAGACGGACAGACAGTCCTGATCTCCCATGGCATATTGGGTGCCCAGCATGTCTGAGCCACGCAGTTCTAGGCTTCGTGCATGTGAAGATTAAGCGCATGTGAAGTGCTTAGCCCATGGCCCGGTGGGTAATAAGCAGTCAGCTACTACGGTCACGGTGACTTTGGAGAGGTAGAGGCAATGTGCTTTGGTAGGGAGAGCTTGCTGTGGGCCAGGCCTGGCCTCCAGTGCCAGGTTCTCTTCCTCGCCATGTGCCCATGGGCTCACTCGCTTCCACCTCTTTGAGCCTGAGTGCCCTCCCTGTAAAATAGAATGTTGGAACTCCCTCACAGGGCTGTGGTGCAGCTTCCATGAAATCAGGCACGGAAGGTGCAGGGTGAAATGCCCAGAAGGCTTTTGCTGCTGTTGTTGTATCTCATTGAATCTCTCTGATTCTCAGAGAGAGATTTTGTCATCCTTGTTTTAAAGGTGAGGAAACAAGCTCAGAGAGGTGAAGTGAGTTGCCTAAGGTCCCACAGCAAGTCAGCTGACAGAGCCAGGATTTAAACTCAGATCTCGGCCCTGAGTCCACCCTTCTTCTCTGTGCCTTTGAGGTTCTCTGGGGGGCGGCAGGGTGGGGCAGGCCCCCAGCTCAGCCACCTCCCATGCCCTCCTCTTGCAGGTCATCCTTTTTCAGTACTAACGCTGCCGGCACTTCCGCATCTGCCCGTGAGCACCCCACAGCTGCCCCTCAGCCGCTGAGATCCAGTGTCCAAGCTGCGGCCAGGAATCCACCCACCTCCGCATCCACCCCCGTCCACCATCCTGCCCACCACCAGGTCGGTTCCTGAGGCCTGGCCTTTCCCTCTCCTGCTGAGAACCAGAACCCACCAGGAGCACCACAGAGTCCTCCTTTTGGAAGGCAGAACTCCCTGAAATCTGGAATCAGGGTGGAAACAGCCTGTTTTTCCCATTTAAACAGGAGTCCTCTTCAACTTCAGCTGATTACAATAGCAAAAGGCGGAATTGAATTGTGCGACGCCAACGGCCTTCTAATTTACAGGTTTTCCCCCCTACATTGGCCTTTATTTACTACTTCCTTGGAACCATCTCTGAATTCTGAATAGCTGACAACTCCCAATGTTATCCACTCTGTTGCTTTTGTCTGGAAAACTCTACAGTGTTTGTGGGATGTCCCCAAAGGAAAGCTATGTTCTAATTTTATCATTTCCATCTGTCTGGTTATGTCAAGTTAATTCAGAAAGAGAAGAGACAGTGACCAACCCTGAGAGGCCCAATAGGGCAGAGATGGAGGCCTGCCCAGACTAGGAGGCAGGGGGGATAGACAGGGAATGGGGAGAAGAAACACCCCCATTGGTTTGGAAATGAAGGAGAGGGCGGTGACATATTGGACCAGAAGAGGCACTAGCCATTTTAAGGAGAGGAAAGAGAAAACTCTGGGGTCAGGGAGAGACCCTACCCCTACCTAATTATCCAACGTATATGTAGGAAACATAGCAGAGATGGTATTTGATCTGTGCCATGACCCTTCTAAATGTTTGGACAGGTTAGAGTTGGGGACCCCTGTTGGCTACTTGTTGACCTCTCATAGTGGTGCTTGGGCCAGGTCTTCTCGATGGAAGGGGGATCCCTCATGGGGGAAAGGGAACAGAGCCCAGTGAAATGGTAGTCAGAATGTTAACCCTGGATCCATCTCTAAGTAGAGAGAGGGTGCCCATTGCCTAGGTGAGAGTGCCAAGCTCAGGATTCCAACTGGCACCTCTGAGCTTCCCCACCAATACTTCCTGGAGCCAGCCCCACCCACCCCTGAGAACAGAGGCCAGTCACAGCTGCATCACATCCATCCTGCTACAACTCTTCCACCCCAAACAAAAGGGCTCAGGCTACACATGACCATGATTTATGTTTTCAGGGGATGCCCATTTGTCCCAAGCTTATCCTGTAATTCTAGAACTACCTGGTGTCCTGATGCATTTTCCACTAGAGGTTGCTAATCAGCATGTTTTAGCCCAAGTCTGCCTTTCTCCTGTGGTTAACCTGTTATGTTGCTTTTGGAAGGAGACTCTAGGACAGGGAAAGCAAGTTTATGGTACATACGCAGCCGTTGTCTCTGTTTTTACCCATGGCAGACGTTGCTAATCAATGGCAGCTCTATCTCACTAAGTCTGCATAAGGTTTCAGAGTTCAAATGCTTGAAGTTGGCACTTAAAATGAAAGCCTATATGTCATTTTTGCTCTGGGATCTACAGGCAGGCTAGGCACAGGTGCAGCCCAAGAAGGGAACCTGCTTCCTCTCCCTTCCAAAGATGGTGACAGCTGACTGAGGGCAAAGAACAGGCACCACTCAGAACGTGGTGAGTACAGCTCAGCTCAGCACTCAGCCAGTGGTAACTTGTGCCCAGCCCTGTGCTAGGTGCTGACATTAACAGGAGCAACCAGGGCCAAATCCCTGGCCTTGGGGAGCTCAAATCTTTCCTTTGATTTTTGCTCCTGATCATCAAGGCCCCAGTGGCAACCGTGTGGTAAGTGGCCAGCCAAGCCCTGCCCAGGGTCACCCAACACCCACTCTGCCTTGAGCCTCTCCTCAGGGTCTATTCCTTGCGTGGATTATGTGGTCGTAGCATGTTACAGTTCAAACATGTCTCCACTACCCTGTTAAGAGCAGCCTGGGAACGTACAGGCCATCAAGACTATTTATTTAAATACAAAAAAAAAAAAGGGGGGAAAACACACACACAGAGAAAAAAATTGTAAGCACTTTTTTTGTAAAACCAATGTCTGTTTTGTTACATACCTTTCATGTCGTGCTTTGTAAATGTCTTATTTGTGTAATAAAGTTAATGCAAGTAGAAGTGCTGGCACTGAAATCCAGAACATGATGGGATTCCATTTCTTTCCTGCTCTCTGGTGAAGGGCTTAGGTCCCTGGCTCCCAGAATACATGCGCTGCTGGACAGTGTAATCCTCCTTCCTGGGAAACTGGTACTATTTCCCAGTTAGTAAACAATGCATTGTAGAGGCCTGATGATGGATTTCTTCTCTAAGTACTCAGTCACACCTGCTTCTTATCTAAGCTTTGGAGGGAATCAGGCTGCTTGATGCCCTCCATTCCAGTCTCTGAACACACACTCTCTACTGGACCCCGCGCTGGCTCTGCACTCTCAGAAAAGGCTCCCAGCCAGACCCTGCCCTGGAGGAGCTCTCGGTCTGGCAAATACTGTGAGAGCCAACGGGGTGGGTATTAGAGCTGGATCGTAGCAGACGAGAAGGTCACAGAATAGGTAAGCAAGAGGGTGGGGCAGGGAGGGAGGTGCAGAGGAGCCTATTTGGAAGATGGGGAAGCATTTAATAGGGTGAAGTTAAAGGAATATGGAATGGGCAGCAGGGCCCCAGCTTCTGCACAAGACTGGGTCTTACAGTGGTTTTGTCAGGCTCCAGAGCCACCTCGTAACCTGAGGAGTGAAAGAGCATCTTTCTGGTGGTTGTCAAATTTCTTTCAGCAGCAGAATCATTTGCTCAAGCTAAAGCTCCTGGTGTGGAGAGCAGAGCTGCCCTGCAGAATGCAGAGGCTTCCCTGGCCTGCTGTGGCCCTGCACAGAAATGAGTTGCTCAGAAACCTCAGCCCATGGTGCACATGAGTCACTGACTGCAGGGCCCCTCTCTTTATTCTATTAGTTTTTAAATCTGCCATCCTGACCCCATTTCTTGCTCCTCATACATCTGCTCTTCCAATCCATTTTCAAATGTTTAGATACATGTGTATCTTTGAAAATATGTGAGTTTAGTTGTGTGTTTCTTTACATGAATGTCCCTTCTGTTTTCAAAATACAGTTTGGAAACCACCAGTGGAGCTCAACTCTATCTACCAAGGTGACTGGCGTCTTGGGGAGAGGTGATCATCCCAAGTCTGCTCCCTGGTGCAGCTGAGAGTGAGCCCAGGCCTCCCTTCCCGCTGCCTCCTGGCTCTGCCCCAGCATGACGCCTCCGGGTCCCTAGTTTGAGATCCAATTTCCTCTCCTGCCTTCCAAGCCTGACTCACTGTTCTGCCTCCACTGGGCAGCCCTGGTGAGCCAGGGGACAGAGCACAGGGGGTGACAGGATCTAGCAACCTCTAAGGAGGAACAGTTAGACAAAGATCCAGGATGCATATGGCCCATGTGTGGCCCTGGAACATGTTGTCACTTCCTCTTCTGATTTTTAGCTAACAAATGTGACCACCGGGATGATTTTGAGAAACGATTATATGCACCACTAACAAGTTGTTCTTTCAAGCAAACACATGTTGAATACCTACTATGCGCCAGGTCCCTTACTTGTATTATTTAACCACACAGCTACTGTGTTGTTTTAAAGCATTATTACAACCATTTTTTATATGATGCCAAAGCCACAATCTTTTTTTTTTTTTTTTTTTGAGACACAGTTTCGCTCTGTCACCCAGGCTGGAGTACCATAGTGCAATCTCGGCTTACTGCAACTTCCACTTCCCGTGTTCAAGCAATTCTGGTGCCTCAGCCTCCCAAGTAGCTGGCATTACAGGCACATGCCACCATGCCCAGCTAATTTTTGTATCTTTAGTAGAGATGGGGTTTCACTATGTTGGCCAGGCTGGTCTCGAACTCCTGGCCTCATGTGATCTGCCCGCCTTGGCCTCCCAAAGTGCTGGGATTAGAGGCGTGAGCCACCATGCCCAGCCTCCAAAGCCACATTCTTTCTATGGCACCATGCTGATTCTGTGCTTAGGATGTGAGGTTCAAATGGGGGAGCTGCCAAGAGGGAAAGACAGGCCTGAGTAATCATTCTTGGGCCTAACAAGCTTGTCCAACCCACCTTATTTGTTGTTGTTGTTTTTCTGTTCTGTTTTGTTTTAGACTTTCAGCAGCCTGAAGCCATGATTTTTAGTTTCTGTCTCTAGTGATAAGCGGAAAAGAGGGATGAGGAAGGGGCTTCACTGGCCCAACCAGAAACAGAAACTAAGAACCCATGACTGCTGCAGGACTGGGCACAGTGATCAGGTCCTACTGCCCTCTGAGACCAAGCAAGTCACTCTGTCTCTCTGAACTTCAGATTCCTCATCCGCAAAAGCCTTCCCCTTGCAAGGCTGTTTTGAGGAGTGGAGATAATGCACACACACTACCTGCACCGGTTAGCGCTCAATTACGTCTATGTATTATAAAGAGATGGTTCTCAAACGTTCAGATGCATGCAAAATGCTGGGAGTGCAAATTACTGGGCCCCATTCCCACAGATTCTGATTGGGAGGTCTAGGGTGGGTCCTGGGAATATCTATAGCTCACAATTTTGTCTAGGTGAAATGATGCCCACTGAGAAACAATCTTTTAAGGCAAATACACTTGGGGCCACTGACTGCAGAAAGTCTTTATTCCTGAGTTAAAAGTCAGGTTCTAGAACTACAGCCTGTCCCCCAGGGCAGCCAGTGCCAGCAGGGCAGATGGAAACCTCTGGTGGAGGCAGCCACAGAGTTCACAGCTCGGGCCTGTGACTCAAAATCTCGTCCTAGCCCTTTCGACAGGTACGGGTGATCCACTCGTGCTCATCATCATCTGCAAGGAAAGAGGAAGAGCTGGTCATGCTTGGTGCTCACTGGGACCTTCCCTGGCCTGGGGGGTTCCCAGGTGGGGCCTTGGGACTGGGATGGTCTGTGGATGGCCGGTCTGTTTAGCTTTGTGTGGGGAGGAACAGACCTTTCATTTATACTGAATGCCTCGGAGTGCTTGGTCTTGGGGAAATTGAACACAGAAGGGTTTCTAACTGGGTGCTGCTGGCGGAGGCAAGCATGAGACGGTCTGGCCACCCTAAGCTGAACTCATCCTCACAGGCAGAGAGCAGCTGCTTCACAGTCGGGCACTTGCCTGGTCTGACAGCCCACACACGATAGCCCCAGGACAGCGGGTCTAGGCCTTGCTGGTGGTGCTAGGAGACAGAGTCCTGAGGTTTTCATTTCCTTTCTAGGCTCTCCATTCTTGACCCTTTCAAGGACCCATGGTTTCCCCAGGGGACTAACACCCTCTTGTTTACTTCAGGCCTTTCAGTGGGGAATGGAGAGGAGCAGGAGCTCCTGGCTGTGCCCTGAAGGCCCTAAACGCAATGTCCCCTTAGTTTAATCTTCATGACCAACCACCCAATGGGCAAGCCTTCTCCACCATTTTACAGATGAACAAACAGACGCTCGCAGAAGCCAAGGCACTTGTCCACAGCCACAGGATCAGTATGTGGGAGAGCTCAGACTGGAACCTAGGATTGTCCAGCTATAAAGCCTATGCTGTTTTTTAAACCTCAAATAGAGAGACTTGAATCACATTCTTCAGTCCACAGCATGCTGCCATCATCTCTCTGTACAAGACCCTTCCGTGGATTTACTTTATTTTCATTTTTCCTCCTTTCTCCTCCAAACCCACACTGGGTCCCTCCTCCACCACTACAGGGACTTACTCCAGTGGTGGGATAGAGACTCCTCAAAATGCATGCTGCTCTGTAAAATATGTGCTGTTGTTTTGTGTACAAGTGTGTTTTTAATTTACAGAAATGGCATTGTGCTGTGGCTTTCATTATGTCTCACATTTTTCACTCAAGACCTATTCTTGTTGCTGTGTGTACATCCAGCTCTTTGCTTCTTACTGCTACCTAATATTCCATGCTTGGCTTCCGTCACATTTTCCTCTCCGTGCTGGTGGTGGCTGCAGAGGTTGCCTGCAAGTCCCACTACCAGGAACAATGCTGGGACAAGCATTCTTGGCCACACCCCTTCATGGATATGTGGAGAATGTCTCTTGGTGTTACATTCCTTCCAGGAGGAGGGTCAATGAGTCCTGCACATCCTTCCTGCAACGTCCTTCCAGCTGCCCATACTCTTTTCACACCACGCTGCCTTCTCCCTGCCTTCTTGCCTTTCCACCTTCCCGCCACTCTTCCCTTCCCTTGGTGCCACTCCCTGCCTTTAACCAGTTCTCCTGAGGGCCAGAGCACTGGAGGAGTTCTTGCCTCCTCTCCTTTCCCTGTGTCTAGCCCAGTGCCTCCTGCCTAAGAGATGGGAGGATAGGTCTGCCCACCCTCCTTGGGTGACAAATGGCAGATGCTTGGGAACAAGGGCACTCCCTGAGAGCTGAAACACAGAGGGCCGGCGGAAAGCTTCATGAATCAGATCCCCTGCTAGGGATGCCTTCCTTTTCTGTGAAAGGCACCAGACCCAGGGCCAGAGAGATGGAGGTTCACAGACAGCCTATGTGTACTTGGTGCTTTGCAGACACTGTGTCTCATTGGATCTCTGTAACAGCCCAGTCGGGTAGGGGAGAGCCTTGTCCTAAGTCCATCGCCAGTGGATTCAAACCAAGGTTCACCAGACTCTGCAGCCTGACCTCTCACCCCAGGGCAGATGTGAGCATGTCAGGAGCTGAGACTGCCCCCGTATCACTAACCACCTCCCCACCATTTCTTTACACGAGACCTAAGGAAAACAGCTTGCTGCCTGGCACACTCTGGTAAGCAGCCAGTGAGCCTCAGTTTCCTCTGGGGAGGCTGCCTGGGAGTCCCCGCTGAGGCTGGGAAACCCAGGGGTGGGGAAAGCAGCGATGATGTGTCAGCACACAAGGAGTTAAGCACTGGTGGAGCCCACTTTTGCCACACTGTGAGCAGCCTGGTTGATAATTACAGTTCTGAAGTCTCCAGGCTATTCGAATCAGTGCAGCTGCAACCTCTTCAGCAGTAACCCCTGAAACCAGACAAACTGGGTTTATTGTGCTGAACCAGTCCTCAGGCCCCTCCCTGATCGTTAAAAATTGACAGCAATGGACTTAACAGCCCTCTTCACTACCCCTTTCACTCTCTACCTGGCTGTACAGCCACCAATTTGAATCACAGATGCCTCCCCTCCCAGCAGCTGCTCACCAACCCTCCCTTCGCCTCCCCTGCGCCTCTCTGCGGCTCCCCTGGCCCTGCCACGCCAGGGTGAGGCTGCCGAAGCACATTTCATCAATATTTAAAATGGAATTAAACCTGCAGCTTTGATTAATGCCTCCCAGATCCTGGGAGTTGTGATTACTATTTTGCAAATTGCGATTGTTGGAATATGTTAATATGATTGTCTGAGAACATCTTCACCTTCTCAGATAATTTCTTCCCTTTTTGGTAGGAGGGGAGAGGGAATGGAGGGAGAAAAAAGATGGGGAAAAAAACACCCCACAAACTCTTTAATCAATTGTAAATTATTACCCTTCGCACAACTGCTGGTGGTGCAGAGAGATGGAAGATTTCTGGTTTGGTGCATTGATCTTAAAAATTTTTGGTCCCTGCTGGCGTGGTAATTCCACTGTGGGACACTATCTTAAAGGGATGATCTATTTGTCTCGGAACTATTTAGAATCAGGGAAAAGGAAAATGATGTACATTTCTAAAAATGAGGGAATGATTATTTTGTTGTATGGGCATTCATTTAACAAATAATTATGTACCAGGCATCGTGCTAGATTCAGGGAGTGGATACTGTAAGACACGTGAGGGGATATTTAACAGCTACTGAAAATAATTATTATGAAGTTTGTATAGCAGCATGGGGGAAATGTTTTTGATGTGATAATAAGCAAAAGAAAAATGGCAAGAAGAGACAAGAAATAAAAGTACACATAGTATATCCTATGTAATAACTGTGCACAGAAGAAAAATTAAATAGAAATGTGAATAATAGCCCTGCATAGTGGGACGAGAGTTTCTCTTTCTGCTTTTATTTCCCAAATCTTCACTAATGGGTATTGACAATAGAAAAAAAAATTAACATAATTATTGGCCTTTGCCAGGCACGGTGGCTCACGCCTGTAATCCCAGCACTTTGGGAGACTGAGGTGGGTGGATCATGACGTCAAGAGATCAAGGCCATCCTGGCCAACGTGGTGAAACCTCATCTCTACAAAAATACAAAAATGAGCCGGGCATGGTGGCAGGCACTCAGGAAGCTGAGGCAGGAGAATCACTTGAGCTGAGGAGGCGGAGGTTGCAGTGAGCCGAGATTGCGCCACTGCACTCCAGCATGGCGACAGAGCAAGACTCTGTCTCAAAAGAAAAAAAAAAAAAAAAAAAGTCTGGCTTTTTTCCTACCCTCCAATTTAATGTCTTGGTAACTTCATGCATTTTGTTAATTGAAATAAGATACCTCAGCTGGACGTGGTGGCTCACAACTATATTCCCAACCCTTTGGGAGGCCGAGGTGGACAGGTCGCTTGAGCCTGGGAGTTTTAATCCAGCCTGGGCAACATGGCAAAACCACCTCTCTACAAAAAATAGAAAAATTAGCTGGGCATGGTGGCAAGGGCCTGTGGTCCCAGCTACTCGGGAGGTTGAGGTAAGAGGATCACCTGAGCCTGGGGTGATTGAGGCTGTGGTAAGCTGTGATCGCCTGGGTGACAGAGTTGAGACCCTGTCTCTAAATACATAAATAAATAAATAAATAAATAAATAAATAAATAAATAAAATAAAAGTTCTAGGTTCCTAGAAATACCAACAGGGTTCTTGAACTCCTGAAAAGCAAAAAGACCTTGCATAAAGATACTGGCAAAAATGCATAAAAATCAGAATATATAAACCCATGCAGGAGAATTCCAAGTAATTTATGTACTCTGTCCTCAAAGAGTTGGAGCACAAATCCCCACTTCTGAAGCATGGCTGTGCGTAGTGACTTTCAAAGAGTACAGTATGGAAAGGGAGGAGGGGAAAGTAACTTTATAATGGAGAAACCTCACAAACACTACCTCAGTCAGGCGACCAAGGTTAACAGCAACATTGGTAAGTCGTGGTGACAGTCTGGACCCTTGATAGGATGGGATGAAAATGACACTTTACTTCTGTGATCTTCCTCCCAAACCCACAACTCCAATCTAATCATGAGAAAAAACATCAGACAGATTCCAGTTGAGGGGCATCCTACAAAATATCTAACCAGTACTCCCCAAAACTGTCACCAAGAACAAGGAAAGCCTAAGAAACAGCTATGCCCCTGTGGAGCCTAAGGAGACAGGATGGGATCCTGGAATAGAAAATGGACATTAGGAAAAGGCATCTGTAAAAAGTATGGGCTTTAGTGAATCATAACATCAATATTAGTTCACTAATTGTGACAGATGTTCCATGAAATGTAAGATAGTCATAACAGGGAAATTGAGTGTGGGGTGTATTAACAACTGTGTAGTATCTTTGCGAGAATTCTGTTAATTTAACTGCTTTCAAATAAACAGTTTAAGAAATACATGAACATCTAGAGCGCTCCCTAAAAGGTGAGATTCTCATGTTCTCTAAGAGGAGTGGACATCCCTTCACAGACCCAGACATCCAGATTGATGTCATTCACTCCTTTTTCTTTTTTTCTTTTTTTCTTTTTTTTTTTAGACGAGTCATCGCTCTGTCACCCGGCTGGAGTTTGTGAGCGATGTCTCAGCTCACGCACATCACGCATTATCGGGTTCCGCCTTGCGCATTAGACTTCACTCCCCAGTACTGGGCTAATTTTTGTTTTATTAGTAGACGGGATTAACCCATGTAGCCAGGTGGTCTCAATCTCTTGCTCATGTACCCGCCAGCCTTGCCTCCACCTCCCATTTCATTTCATGGGTCACCTCAGTCACCAGTTTTGATCTATCTTTATGTAGTGTTTATTATTTTTTTTTTTTTTTTTTTTTTTTTAGATGAGATTTATGCCTCTGATCGCCAGGCTGGAGTCGTGACGCATCACAGACCCACTGCAGCACTCCATCTACCGGATCGGATCTCCTGCATCAAGCTCCATAACATTAGGGATTACAGGCGTCGGCAAGACATATAGACGCATTATTTAGATAAAAAGAATGGAAGAATAATTCTCCATGTTGGCCAGGCTGGTTTCAAACTCCTGACCTCAGGTGATCCACTGCCTCAGCCTCTTAAAGTGCTGGGATTACAGGCGTGGGCCACCGCGCCCTGCTTGAATATTTTCTTATATAATGTTTTTCTCTCCCATTAGACTGTAAGCTCTTGATGCAGGGACCATGTCTGATTTGTTGACCACTAGACCCAGCATACAGTAGGTGCTTATAAATGCTCTCTCAGATGAAATCTGGAATAAGCCTTTTTCATTCTGACTTGTGTCAGTTGCCATCAACAAACATTTCCCATGCACCCCCTTCTCGGTATCTAGGTCTCAACTCAAATGTCACCTTCTCAATGACCCTAATCTAACTGCCTCCACTCCCAGTCACTCCATCTTGTCTTCATTTTATTTTCTCCATAGCATAAGCCACTCCCTGCATATGTATTTGTTTACGTGCATGTTGTCTGTTTCCCCATCCAGACTATAAGCTCCAGTGAGACCAGGAGCCCTGCCTGCTTGTTCACTATGATATCCCAGTGCTTAGGAGAGCATCTGGCACAAAGTAGGTTCTCAGTTGATAGCTTTTGAATTAATGAATGAATTGGCAAGCCCAATTCTGTGGCCAGTCCTGTGGCCAGTGCTAGGGACAGATGGGACTGAGACCAGCAGCGAGTGCGGCCAGGACCCAGGTGCACTTCAGGGTTAGGTCTGTCTACCTTTGGGGCTGAACGATGTCTTTATTCCGGTTCTGAAGCTTTGGAAGTGACCTTGCTGCCACCTGCATGCCCTGCACTCATATGTCATTAGGATAACTGGGCTTTTTATAGAGAAGAAAAGAAACGTACTGCAAGAGAGACCCCAAATCTGACTATGGGCTACCGCAATGAAAAACTTCCCTGAAAAGGCTCCCCACTTCTCTGCCTGGCCTTCAAGGTTGCCAGGTCCCCCTACTTCCCAGGCTTGCTTCCCAGGCCTGCTTCCCTCCCCACTTCCCTCCCAGCTCCCCTCACGCTATAAAGTGCAGTAGTCCATGTGCATGCTCACCAGTGCCCCTGTGCCTTTGCATATGCTGTTCCCAAGGGACCACCCTTCCTCCTTCAGGACCTAGTTTGGGTTCAGGGCCTCTCAGAGCACAAGAGAGGCCCAAGGTACCTTCCATTTTGTAGTATTAGTGTATATAAAATTGAAGACAGGCCTAAGCAAGGTGATAACAATTACAGAATAGTTTAAACATTTACATTTGACAAATTACTACTTTTTTTTTTTTTTTGAGACAGAGTCTTACTCTGTCACCAGTCTGGAGTGCAGTGGCGCAATCTCGGCTCACTGCAACCTCTGCCTCCCAGGTTCAAGTGATTCTCCTGCCTCAGTTTCCCGAGTAGCTGGGACTACAGGCATGCACCACCACGCCTGGCTAATTTTTGTATTTTTAGTAGAGATGGGGTTTCACCATGTTGGCCAGGATGGTCTAGAACTCCTGACCTCAAGTGATCTGCCCACCTTGGCCTCCCACAATGCTAGGATTACAGGGGTGAGCCACAGCGCCCGGCTGACAAATTGCTACTTTTAACACAAACAACCAAATGTAATATGAGTGTGTTATTCTAGGATTTCTTCCAAAAAAGTGTAAGTTCACAGCGTGCTGAAGGCACTATGGTCAGGAAAAGGGGTGTGAATTTTGAGTTGTCTGATGAACAGGGTTTTCCTTCAGTCCGTCACAGTCCACACTTAAAGGCCCCATGAATGTGTGGGCTGGGCCTCATACCCTCTTGGCTGTCCCCTACCCCCACAGACCCCACCTGGACGTCAGCCTTCCCTGAGCCGAGGTCACAGTGTTGGACGTGGTCACCCCCTCCAGCCTGGGGCAGCCCTGTACCAT